CGAGCTATGACCTTGGGAAAGCGCGTTCGTCAAGCTTGTTCCAGATGTCAGAAGTTACATAGCTTCACCCTCAGAGCAAGATTCTGAAGAGAAAAAATAAAAGAGAAACCGAGGAGCAGCAAGGCATTTGGATATGAGCGATAATCAATGCTTAACATTTATTAGTGGAACAGATAGAGGTATGATAAATTATTAGATTAAATTGATACTAGCTCATGTAGCAAGAGTAAACTGCGATTAGGGGCTCCAGAAGAGAGAAGGCAGTAATAAAGAACAATGAGTTGTGATATTTATCGAGGTGGAGTAGGTTCCAATGAAGAAGGGAAGTCAAGGTTGGAATGAGGAAGAACAGAGAGTGCATATAGAGAGTAGTGTTAAGTAAAATAGCAACCATATCCTTTACAATCAGTTTTTTTCTTTTCTCATCCGATGCCTGCCACACAGTGTTCATGTAAAAGTCCGAGTTAGCATGTTAAAGGTTGTCTTAGTAGAATAGTTAATCCAGCACAAAAATTAGAAACATGAGTCTTAATGGTGAGTGTAGGTGAACAATCTCAATATCACAGATCTATTGACTTGTTCTGATCCATAAAGAGCCTGATACAAACAAAATGGAATTATCGTATGCTTATGTATAAGTATATTTACCTTTGCTGATATAATAATAGACCTAATCGCAAAATTGTAGACATATCGTGATGTGACTGCCCAATTTATGAGATCTTACTTTGAAGCCACATCATAGTCTTCATTGATTCGCCCTACACTGGAAATAAGCAACACAACGGCTAACACTTCTGAAGGACACATTTTGGGCTGGGTAGAGAGTAATATATTCAATACAGAAACAAGCGGTTACATGGGGTGACCACTCCTGTATGGTCGAGCCGTGCCATACTGATCGATTCCTCCCGCGCTTGCCAATGTTGACCTTCTTTTAGTGTTACATGGTGAGTGATTATATGCCCAGTTTCAAAGATCGTATGGTTAGAGACCAATAACACTACAGATATACTATAAACTCTTCCTTATGTGTTTTTAAGTGAATGTGTGCAGTTGTTTACAAAAATCCATTCATATTTGTGTCTCATATAAACACAAACCTTTGCTCGATCCTAGGCGTAAAGCTATTTTTATCGATCACTTTACTGATGTATTTTGGTAATTTTTGACTCAGAACGTGACTCATTATCATCCTTGAATGTGATTTTGACATTCTTAGTGAATCGGTTCCATCAGCTATATATACCTTTCGCCTTGACCAGCATCTATTCGTGTGTATGGTATAGAAAAGCTTTGATGTCTGAATTGTCTATTCGATTTTCAACTGTCCATTTTATTCCATGCTTCTCCTATAATATTGAGGTATTCATAATCCAGTTAACCACACGAATAAAGAGAAAAGGGGAGAGTAAGCATTGCTCTGACTCAGCTACTCACTTGCAATACATCTGTCAGCTGTCCTCCATACACTACTTTGCGGTTTAATCCATCATATGAATTTCGTGTGATATTGACGATCTTCCCGGGTACTCCATGGTATTGAAGTAGTTTCCGTAATGTCATCCTGCCTACATTGTTAAATGCCTCCTTATAGCCAAGGAAGTTGATGTATAGTGGCAAGTTCCATTCAATTTAGAAGCTTCGACCTTATATCCCTCCAGAATATCTGAGGCTTTAATAACGGTGTGGGACGAAGTCACCCGTGCCATATGTTTTCGGTGGGGTATCTCCAGGGGGCTGAAAAAGGTGTAAGAAAAAGGAAGGACGAAAAGCAGAGCAAACAATATTCACAGAGGAATAGTTAGGGTATAACCATTTAGTCTATTTGTCTGTTACTGAAGTACTTGTTAAGCAACAGCGTACTAATGTGTTCAGGAAAAATAAGTGTGAACAAGGTATGAGTGGATAAGGAACTGTATAAATGAAGGTAGTTCAGAAAGAAGTATGGAATTATGTGTTACTATAAAATATAGTGCTGAAAACAGTATTCTGATACAAACGGCTGTCTTCCTTCCGTTTCGAAACTATTGGAACTCTTAAATAGGAATATTATTCCTATTTAATGTCTTGGATCAACTCGGCGCTCAAATACTGTGAAACTATTCGCTCTAATTTAGACGAGATTTCTTATATATTGGAACCCTTTTTGTTTTTAAATTTTATATGTTATGGAGTAGGCTTCGTTTTTAGCGAATTGACTAGTTTGCTTGTAATAGGATTACTCGGTAGGAAGTGGAACCAATTCAGCGTTTTGAACACAATTTCAAGAGGTATTTTGCACAGATAAGTTAGCATCAATACCGTTGGTTCTTGACATCTCACTTGATACAAGGAGTCGTAATTTAACATGTTCTTCCCTACGGACACGGGTGGATTGAAGTTATCTCCCCACCATCATGTTTGCCGGTCAGTAACGTCACCCTCCCTCCTTTTATGATTTTAGGCTCTCTTACGTTTGTGGTTGGTATGAATAATACTTTAGTCAAGGCCCGTAGTTGGAATACACTGTCCTTACAAGTTCCATGTTACAAGCTGGCTATAAGTGCATTTCGTGATTCCTTGGAAATCACCAGAGCGACTCCCGGAGCGTGTGGAGCATATTTTAATTTTTGGTCGCAGTACAGCAGCATTTCTTCATTACCTAACCTTTTCTGTCCGGTTTGGGTCCAATGGTTTCATATCATTTAAGCTGCCATTTAACTGGTCGTCCCGCTCCCCCACATTCTCCAAAAATTTCACGTACCTATATTAATTGTTGCTCTGGCTGTTAAAAGGGACGTCGACTTCGTAACTTCCGATGAACCTCGGCTTTCACCATGGGGCATCATAATTCTTTTAAATGATCATTCATATTGGAGGGTAGGGTTTGGACGTTTTAGACTACTCATATTGTTTATTCTGGTTTGTGTTCTTCGGGTAAGAATGGTAATATTTGACACCAAGAATATCAGTAGCGAGTGTCCATAGTTCTACTAGATTTCTCCATATCATTCGGAAAGTTTGGTAATCGATAACCAATATGTCACTTGCCCAAGGTGTGTTACCTACGGACTGGGAGGATGCAATCGTCACTCCGATACGTATAAGGGGACCAAAACAACTTCCATCGAACTACAGACTTGTCAGCCTCACCAGTCTCACAGTTAGGATACTGGAAAGAATATTCAAAAAGGCCATGATGACATTTGTAGAAACCAACAACTAGTTCAATAGTGAACAACATGGTTTATCTTGCATAACAAAACTCCTTATAGTAAGGGAGCAATGGATAAAGGCTCTAGATAATGGAAAATCAGTGAGTGTCGTCTAAATAGACTTTAGCAAAGCGTTTGATAAGTTACCAACAAATACACTGCTTTTGAAGCTGGAAAATTTAGGCATTGTCGGAAATCTACTAAAATGGCTTGTAGATTTCCTGTTAGGTCACAGATGGAAAGCAAGAGTAAATTCCAAGTTCTCCACCCGGATACTAGTACTTAGTGGAATACCTCATGGTTCTGTCCTAAGTCCTTTGCTTTTAATACTGTATGTAAATGATCTCCCAAGTATAGTAGAGTCCCCAATGTTACTATAAGCTGACAATGAAAAAATCTGGCGAGAGAGAAGCAGGGAGGGAGACGCAGATGCACGTGCACTTCATTCAGACTGAGGTGTTATGATCACTTGGTCTAAAGAGTGGCTAATGCCTATCAATTTGGCAGAGTGTGTCTAAATGCACTTTGTGGATACAAAGATAAATAAGTACAGCATAGGGCAGGTGCCTGTACCACTAGCCCAGTCTGACAACGATCTTAGGGTGACAGTGAGTCATGATATTAAAACCACGGCTAATTGCCAAGAGGTTGCAGATAAAGGGTTGTGAACCTTCTGGGCTTTAAGACGGACATTCCCCAAGTTAGATACTACCATGTTCACTACAGTATACACAACCGTAGTGAGAACTAAGCTAGCAAACTGCGTTCAGGCTGCAAGCCCCTACTTAAAAAGAAAAGGGGGGGGGCGGCTTGCAGCCTGAACGCAGTTTGCAAGCTTAGTTCTCACTACGGTTGTGTATCGGATATCTTGGAAAAAGTACAAAGGGCAGCTACTCGTGAAATTACAGAACTTTGTGGTTTACCATACAGAGGGAGGCTTGAAAATCTAGAACACTTTACTCTGTGCTATCTCAGATTAAGAGGCGATCTGATTTTGATGTATAGAGTACTAAGAAATGAGTTTGGACCTTATATATTCTCTCTTTTTCTTCTCATCAGATCGGAACATTATAGAGGACATAGCGGACGAGTAGAAAAACCAAGAACGAACAAAATACTTGTGCCATGAAGGTTTTCACATCGAGTAATCAACTCTCGGAACCTCTTACCCGAAGCAGTGGTGTCTGCACCTTCAATTGACTCATTCAAGAGAAGACTAGACACTCACAGAAGCATACTAGAAAAATAATGACGTAAGCCATAGGCCTTCTGTCCTTACTAAACAAATATGAAGTCTGATTTCTCGGCAAGACTGGATTCAGTGAGCATTAATAGCTGTTTGAATAATCGGCTACACAAATGAGTGAGTCAGCCTTACAGGACCATCTACAACAGGTGGATTGGGATGTTCACCCTCAACTTGAAGTGGATGCTTATTGAGATTTCTTACTGCACACGCTCTTATGTTCTACTAAGCATTCTGTTCTTCAAACAGTAGGATAAACACTCAACCCATCACTCCATTCTCCGGGTCCTTGCATAATAAGAAAAGAACCATATCTATCAAAATCCGAAGATTCTTTTCTATCTCTAAAAAGTATATCTCAGGGAACAGCACAGTCCTCACATCTGCCCGACAGCGTAATGTTTGAAAAAAAACCTTTGAATACCCGCAGACGATGCTACAGATATGAATGTAAAAAGTGTTAGAAGGCCAAACTCCGATAATCAACACTTCTCCAATCCATTATCGAACCATTTGAAACTATTTTACAAATTTGTTTTATAGCACCAAGTTGTGAATCCAAGCTTACATTGCAAGCGGGCTTTTTGTTTTGGTGTGTAGTTCGGCGTTCGGTCTTGATTTATGCCGAATAACCCAGTTTTCGGAAACCACTCTGCTTCTAATACGACGTGGATTTATTCTGAGTTTCAGTTGGGTGTTACTACATAGAAATGGTTTTGTAGATCGTATACCAATACTCGTAAGTTGACTTTTATTACGTTGTGATTTATGCTTCCAAACTTTAAAGTCACGTACAATTTAAAAACAATCACACATTTTCATTCTAACAGAATTTATGTACTTTTCCGAAACTTACAATGTTTTCATAAGTATTTGTTTTTATCCCCCTCCCAATGCTTGAGGAATGATGTAACTACAATTGTAGTTACAACAGAACTTAAGTTCTGTTAGCGAAAATGTGTGGCTAGTAGAGTATTTAAGTGACTTTATCACTTTTTCGAATCACCAATATCAAACAGTCCAAGTCAGAATCCCACTGCGCACCGACTGACGTTAGAGATATCTTTGAGTCTGCCTCTAAAATACTGCTCAAGGACGGATGTGATAATAGACTTCACCCATTTTAATAATAAAATCTGGTCAGGACCATCTGAACTAATGGCAAGAGTTATCAGTCTAACATTCGTAATTTTTGTTCCCGTGAAATTTCTCGTTCATCAATTTGAAAACAATAGCATACATCCAAGATGTAACTAGTAATACCATTTCTATATTGGGCTGGTCAGATGTAAAGTACAAATGCTGCATACCACTTTGTACCTGCCAATTTCGAGGAGTTCAGTCTGTTATTTCAGATTTTTCAGTTAAGGAATATGTCAATATGATATGATCCAGTGTTTTGACATATATAGCATGCTGTTTTGTGATAGTGAAACTCAAGTCAACTTCAAGTCCTTAAGTATTTCGTTCGTTGTAGACTAGTGCATGTTTGTGTTTATAAGGGTGAGAAAAAGCTCCGAGATAAGCTTTTCAAAAATGAAGTGTACTTATGTATTCGCACTCTCAAGAATCTCAAGAACGTTGTGATTGTTTCGTCATTAGTTAACATATCTGCATTTTTTCATTCTACCTTCTCAAATCCAAGTTTTTTTTGTGGAACCAACGCAGACACAGCCAAGTTGGTCACATCTTATTTACTTGCTGCTTATTTAAACTCAACCGGGTAGCAAGACTAAAATGCGCCACACCAGTAGAGATGATATCGCGCTATTTAAAAGGACAGTGGTATTGTTTCACGTTGAGTTTAATTCACTGTTTTGATCGTAAATTACGTATCAAAACTACCGTTTACACTTTAATTGAATTTATTTTAGTTAACGTGACATTGTGTTTGTGTGTTTTGATCCTGCTTTTGTGTATTTACTGCATCAAAGCATTCTTGGTCGACTGAGGCTGTTTATTTGATAAGGTTGTGATTTATCTTACATATCTACCTTGCCTATCATTTTGCTTTATTCTAAGATGGTCGGCTCTGTACACAAGTGTGGACAGCCATATTGCTTATTCCCCGTGGAAGAATGGATGCAGTGTGACGATTGTAAGAAGTGGTTTCATAAAATGTGCACCCGCTTAAGCCCTGCTGCCTATAAAAGGTGCTCGAAACCAAATTCTCATTGGCTCTGTATGTTTTGTTGCTCAAGTAAGACATTACACATTCAGGAAGCCATCAGCCTTCTAGCGTTAGCTAAAAAGGTCGAAGTAGGCCGTGCCGGCGACATGGATACTGATAATGAAGATTGTATCAGTGTCGTAAATGCTGCCATGGCAGGTACCAGACACCCAATTTCGCAACATGAAGCAAAAATTTGTACTCCGATACAACCAATGAAAGCCACGCCATTAAGTACTGAGGGACCAGTCGCTTTAACAGCGACTGAGGACCCGGCTAGAACCACTATCGTCCAGAATAGTTCCAATCTGGATGCTGAGAATAGTGGCAAATGGATTACGCGGAAACGCAAAAGAGACGGAAAAATACCCAAAGAAAGCGCGCGTATAGTCGGTAAGTCATCGTTGGACTCACGTCCTGAGCATCAGGCAACTCCGCTCAAGTCCAAATGTAAGGAAATATTTAATACTGTTGTGGATGGAAATAGTCTAACTTCACCAAATGTTGTTGGGAGTAACTCACTTGACCCACATGACACTGTGATAAAGCAAGCTAATAGCAAGAAGCCGGTAGCTAACCGGCAGGATCTGACATCACGGTCAAAGGCCGTGAACACGACTTTTAAGGCAGTTAAACAGGTGCCTAGTGTAATCATCTGGAACTTGGAAGAATCGAAAGACACCGATCCCGCTAAGAGACATGCCCACGACCTGCAGTTAGTCGGATCTCTCATCAGAAATATACTGCCAGAGGAGGTCCCAGGGGTACATATATCGAAAGTCATCAGACTTGGTAAGTATGTTGGAGGCGAAACCCAACAGAGAAGGATCCTCAAATTAGTACTCGGTAATTTTGAGGAAAGGGACGTATTACTAAATAACTCACGCAAAACTCGTGACTCAAACATTCGTATTCGACCTGACTGGCCACTTGAGGATCGGATCAAGTGGAAGAATGCCCTAACAGAGTTAAAAACTCGAAAGCTAAACGGTGAAGCGAACCTTACGATTAAGGGTTTTCGGGTAGTCAGGTCTTGGAAGCCAATGCTTCCGAGACCTGTGTGGGTAGAACGCATGTCTCCAAAAACACCCTAAATGTGTGTTATACGAATGCTCGTAGTCTTCGGAATAAGATGTCTGAACTAAGTTTGATGGTAGACGACTTAAATCCGGATATAATTGTTATCACCGAAACTTGGCTCACTGTAGATATAGACTGTTCTCCAGTCATTTCAGGCTACATCTGTGTCAGAAGTGATAGAGTTAGAAGTCGCAAGGGAGGAGGCATAATATTATATATTAGGGACCACTTCCGCATTAACTCGATCATATCGAAGGCGCATGTAAGTGGTACTTGTGAGGTAGTATGTTGTACAATTAGGTCTAGAAACGGGTTAGTGACGATAGGAGGAATATATCGTAGTCAGTGTTGTCTCGCTGACGACTTTATCCTAAAACACGTCTGTTCTTGGAGTAAAGCAGAATGTTGTCTCATCGTTGGAGACTTCAATGCACCCCATATAAACTGGATAGAGCTCACAGCTCCAGGTGGGGGTTTCGATAGCGTCCTTCTGTCATCAATTGTTCAATGTGCACTTGTACAATGTATCGTTAAGCCGACGCATATAAACTTGGAACATAATCCGTCATTGGTAGACCTTGTCCTCACACACCACTATGAAGATATCGTTGACATTCAACATCTTCCCCCACTGGTGAATAGTGACCATGTCGTACTTTCCTTTAAGTTCCGGATACATGGTATAGAATTTGCATCAGCTCCACCCCGTCCTAATATCTGGAGAGCTAATATTCCGGCAATCAGGGACTATGCTATCTCAATTGACTGGTCGGTCGATGCTGATAGATCGATTGATGATGCATGGAATAGGTTTAAGTCTACGTTTGAATCCGTAACTCAACCGTTTATCCCATGGTCAGCACGTAAGTTATCATATTGCCCTCCATTGATTAATAAGGAAACCCGGAAGCTGTTGAAGCGTAGGAAACACTTCTTAATGGTACTTAATGGTACATCTCTGCCACGCGTTCATGCGCATAAAGACTTAGGAGTAATTATAAGTCACGACTTAAAAACTACTACGCACTGCAATGCGGTTGCTTCCAAAGGCTATCGAGCGCTATGGTCGCTTCGCAGAGCATTTAAATGCTTTGACGAGGATATGTTTCGAATTTTATATCCCACCTATGTAAGGCCATACTTAGAATACTGTATCCAAGCAGCTAGCCCTTGTCTGATAAAGGATACTAAATCGCTTGAGCGTGTCCAGCGTGTAGGGACAAAATTAGTAGAGGGTCTTTCCAAACTCCCTTACGATGAGCGTTTAAAACGTCTAAATCTTTTCCCCTTATCTTATCGTAGGACGCGAGGTGACCTTATACTGGCATTTCGTATCTTTAATTATGATCTGGGTGTTAATATGTCTTACTTTTTTGCTCCCTCCAGCACTAATAATCTCCGGGGTCATAGCAAGAAGGTTCTGAAACCGCGATCTAATAAACTAAAGGTGGGGTCCCGTTTTTCTCATCGAGTGGTCAATGACTGGAACGCTTTACCAGAACAAGTGGTATCAGCACCATCAGTGAACATTTTCAAAAAGAAGCTGGACCTTCACTGGAAGGAAATCTGTCAGGATTAACACAGGTCTATCAACCTACTATCCTTATTACTGAAGACTGAAGACTGAAAGGAGGGAAAAGGAATACGATCGAAAAGAAAAGAGATAAGCAGTGCGAGTATCATGTAATTGGAAAAGCGGTTCAGTTAACAATTCAACTGAGAGAGGCTTCTCTCGCATAAGGAAGTTCCTCTCATCATTATATATGTTAAAGAGAACTACAGAATGACGGTTTTCTGTCCTAAGCTATATACGATAACGTATCACGCCAACAAGTGAAAAAAATACTTAGGGCCTTAGCCAGAGGGTGTGATGAAACGAGATCCCAGTCATATACAACTATCTTTTATACTAGTGCCATGTCATAAGATTGTTGTCAGCTTTTCCCACCCAGTCTCAACGTTGGCAATTAACGTACAATGTTAAAGTTGCTAAAATGACATTCATATAACGTCGGTGTTTAAAAATGATGGGATAAATCAAATGATCGTCACTGTAACCAAATACACATTAAAAGGCCTCACCATTACTATATTATGTTCTCGCCGGTTGTGAGCAATCTTTCGGTGACAACCATAATGTAACACCGATAGTCGTCTAATATCTTCGTTTCAGAGAGGTCAGGTTTAGTAAGCATAGGACAAAACTGCTCTCATCTATGCGTCGTAAACCCGACCTTTTACAGCTAGACCGAAATCACTATCGTGATGAAAATGATTCAGATTATCATAATCCACTCTGGGTCTGGCAGCCTGAATGGATGTGCACATATACCGGGTTTTATGGTGCGCATGGCTGACCCACTTTTACTCAATTTAGATTGAACTCATCAGTCATCCCTTCAATACTCAAAACTATCCAAATACACGGAAGTTTTGACTTTTACTAATGGTTTACCACAAAGAGTAAGCGCATGCCCAGGTTTCTGCTAGTTTTGCAGAAGTTTTTTGTGTTGAGGTGCCATACGGACACTGATTACCGACTGATTCAGTACGATTAGCATAACTTGTTTATCATTGCACTGTAAAGCGATACCGTCCGCATAATCGAGTTAACACATCCCGAAGGAAAGATTTTTGTCACGTCAATAAACATTCGATATCTCAACTTACTTGAAGTAATTTGAATATCTCACCCTGCTGATTTTTTTATACACGTTTTACTCTTGGTATTTTTCGTTCTATTATGCCAAATTTGTATTTTTTCAAAATTCTTATTCTTATCTCTAGGTAATATCAATTCAGCATGTTTATAAAATAATCCTGTTTTTTGCTTACCATATTGAGTGCTACCCTAGAAATATAAGGCTTACGAAATACCATATGATACCGGTGAGTATTGTTACACCACAGTCTGTGAGTTCAGCTGAGCAGATTGGTGAACATTCCTCGTCTCTGTCTCTACAAAATGTTCCTGTTCAACAAGATTCAGTTTCTCACCTAAACTCTCACACTACTGTACATATGAATGATGGCCAGAATGAGCCTAGTAGTATTTATCTTACAGATCAAGAGTTACGTCTAGATTCATTCTTTCCTAACTCTCCACTGGGCATCACTAGAGATCCTCATTGTGACGATAATGGTGAAGAACAAAATCGTATATCTAGTTTTGAACTAATTAGCCGCTTAATCGATGCTGAGGGCCTAATTGAGTTGGGTTATATACCGTCAAGTTGTAATTCAGCTCCAGCGATTGATGTAGCCAGTTTATCAGATTTGGAAGAAGTGACGTCAAAGACATTGTTGTGGTCTTCAAATTGTGATGATGTCGATTCTTTCAATTTCGATGATTTGAGTAATAAAATCAATGAGAGTAACACCAACAATGCTGATACTAAATTGAGAAGTGATAACAAGACTTTGGAGCATCGGTCAGCTTTGACGACTGAATATATATCTGCTGGTAAGTTATCGTTTTTATCCCAAAAATGAAAAAAATTAAACTTCATAAATTTTGGACTCATTCTCCAGTCGATCGAGGCCTGACTGATAGGCTTAGTAATTGATCATTGTATCACAATCTAACATTTCATAGATTGACTTCCTACTGGAAGACTCATTTTCTTGGATTACATAAGCATTACTAATATTCAATCACAGATTTCTTCGAAGCATTGATCGTAGAGTGCTCTGTAAAGACAAATAAATTAGTTGATGAAGCTGTGAATTTTCGCTGAATTAAGTAGTTGATATATATTGTGTGTATATCGAGCCATCTACTACCCCGATGCATTGTTGTAGGTAGCATGGAGATAGATCACAAAATGTGTCTAACCATGTCGAGAAATCCAGTCAGTTACTGAAATCAGTAACTACCAATCTACGTTCTGTTATGAAATATAGTCTTACTGAGTTCCATAAATTAACCACAATCTATCATAAGATATACGACGTATCATGGCTCAAAATTAGTTGCAGTGATACAGCTGTGTCCTTTTATTTTCCACCCATGTCTCGATCCAATTATTATATCATGCTTCCTATTCATACCTTTTCGAACTATTATTTCTGTTCATTAAAAAAAAAATAATATTAGTATTATTACTTTACCTCCTCCGCTTTTCATCTTGTTAATTTACTCCGTCTATGTTAATGTAAATTATGATTACTTTGATCGATCCATATTAATGCTATGTCCTATGTTATTTCTGACTGGTTGAGTGAATGGGTTTCGGTGATTTCAGTTCATATCACATGATGTTCACAATTCATCTTTGATTACTTAACTGATCTCAATCAGAAAGCAAACATTTTGTTAACAGTTTACATTTACTGTCGACGCTGTCATGGATTAGCTCCGATCTAAATACCTTTTCCTATTTCAAAACTACTTGCATACCATTCTACATCTTTGGGTTAAACTGAATAGCAGTCTGGCACACTTTTCTCCTTTGGATAGAAAAATGCCCATATCCAATTTTGGTGAATCTGTTGTTCTGTCATATTTCTGAAGTAATCTTTTTCTGCATTGGTATGAAGCAAAGTAATCTAGACCTTTACACTTTTTTTTGCATGATTTCATGTTGATATTTATCTGTTCATTACTTGGAGGTACTTCAAGGTAACTTAAGTTCTAGTGGCAAGAAAGCAACACCCACTATCAACTTTTTCATCATCTATTCCTTACTCTCCTCGATATGGATCCTTTCATGGAATTTGAAGTCCCTCGGTCTTTTGAGTTAATACAAAGAATTTTAAGTTATAGAATATCATTCCTGTTGGTTATTTGCTATATTCGATGTCATGACAACTAGATCTCCAGGTGCATTGTGTAACACTAAATCCAGGGATGTGAAATAAACTCTTACTATGGATAGTTGTCTTTTTGCTCTTCTGTAACAGCCGGTTCATCAAAACAGTCTTATTTATATTTTTCAGTCTACTTTTAAAAGTAGCTTGACTGTAGATTTCCTACTTTTTCAAGCATGTATTTAAACTCTGAAGAAGTGTTAAATTAAACGCAGGTTTTTCTGCTCCCGAATGTTCTTGAATACATAAAATTTACTTGTAAGTTAGGAACTGAGTGTATATTTGGAAAGTCAGTCAGTCAGCTACAACGTAGGACCAGGCACATATATGCATCGGTCCAAGTTGCCATACCTCGTTAGCACAACAAGATCAACACCGGATTCATAGTAGTTAATTTAGTGGTGGTAGTAGTATATAAATTATAGGTTGTATATAAGGATATAGTACAGGAAGAAAGAAAGTTATGAAGCAATTTTAATCTCAAGGTTTAAGGGAAGATAAAGAGTGTATACACCTACGCCATTGTGATCGATTTTGAGCCATGTCACCTAGAGTCTCGAATAATTGGTTGCGATAGTCACGCGGACCCCAACCAGGTAGTCTGCATCTGCTATTTGGAAAAAAATGGCTCAGCACACATCATTCAAGTATAAAAGACAGCTTACTAGTAAGTGAAAACCGGACCAATATAACAGATTGATGTAATGTCTAAAGTGTTGGGCAAAGTATGTGAATTAGTCAGTAAAGTGATAAACCTATTTCACACAAGTTTGTTGTACATATTAACTTACCGGTTACTTCAGTTTACTATGAAATCGAAACACGGTTATCCTTCTCTATAAATCCACTTTGGTGTCTAATTCCATACTACCGAAATTTGTAGTTTAATAAACCCAGTTTTTTAATAGGAAGTTAAGGGTAAGGAGATCATTTACGACGAATAGAGTACAGTGAATCGATGAAAAAATAAATAAAAATGGTCAAGATAGCTGTTATTTATTAGCTACCGTATATTTCATAGGACAGTCTTCTATTCACCTTAAAAACGTTTTGAAACAGTATTTTTGCTTCTAAAATTCGTTTATAATTGACCAAAACTCATTAAAATTAAGAACTTTCTGGTAGAGTATAATTGTCACGAAATAAAAAAGAATCAGTGCAGTTTCCCATCTATATAATCTTTGGCACGACTGATATAAAAGTAAGCATTTTAAAGAGGAATTATTGCACAATGGCATTGTTTTTATGAATCATTGGTTGCGTAGTAGTGTCACATAATCTTGTTAGACGTAATATTATACCGATTTTGATCAATTCTCAGTATGATTAACATCAACTTCGGAATAGGTATTGTTTACAAACATACCTGGAATAAACATAGGATAGGATGTTATCTAACTGAGCTAATACTAGGATGATGATGCAGTGTTAACTGAAAAAATAGAGAAAAAGTTGTTAACATACTGGTCAGTAAGTTTGTAATTAGTGGCTTTTACTAGTTAAAAAAAATCATCTGGCACTCAGTACTCATAGGCAATCATGAATTAAAATTTAGGAGTTACTTAAGGGTTAGTTATCAATAATGTCTTATCTAACTAAATCTCATGTTTTCATAGAAATATATATATATATATATATATGTACATATATATATATATATACTGAATGTTGCCCTACACTAATTTACCTATTAGTGAAAACTTATTCTTTCATTAGTGAAGGGTTTTTTCGCCTTCGAAAACTAGAAACAATAGTTAAGTATGTTCTGCTTTTGAGAGCAACTAAAAATGCCATCAAAGAATACGCCTCATTAGTCTTTTACTTATCCTTATTTCAATTATCTTGAGCAGCAAACCTTGCTGGAACTTACACTTAATCGAATTTTGGACGAGTTGTGTTTAAATGAAAGATGAATAGTGTGCTCGATAAATAGTCAGTTCTCATTTACTATATCTCAAGTAACAAGTAATTTACCAAGTTGTAAGGTTATGAAGTATTGCTTAAAGCTGAATACATAAAACCTGCACCTCAGAATTGAGTTGGATAAATGGATTTATAAAAAAGGCAACTCTGACATTCACAAGTAACTAGAATTATATTCATTCATTTAATTAAATAGAGAGAGGGATTTTAGTATTTAAAATAATGTTTTAATCTGTATTTCCTGTTTTTTTCTTCAAAAATCTCATTCACAGATTTCAACCCGTTAAACAGTACTAACGCTTTAGTACCTATTATCTCATTACCATCTGATACAAATTTACAAACTATACCTTCACTTGAATCAAACGAATATGAAAATTTCCAAGCACACTATAAAACAAATACTGTTTTAGATAATGTTCAATCACTGCCTTCTAATACAGTACCTGATGATCTTGGCCCACTTAACATTACTTCTTATCCAATGGGATTAGTTGGGGCAAATATACCTTCAATAACACGACCATCTATCCATCAATCTCCTGTCGATCATCATGCACTTCATCCAACAATAAAACCTAATCATATACCTTATTCTTACTCTCCGTTAACTCCATTGTCTAGTGTACAAATCCGCAGTAGTATACATGAAAGTAGATTTGTAATTGATAATCAGGTTTGTCCAATTGATAACATTTGTAATCAGCAATTACAGACTGGCTCTTTCGTCAAAAATAAGTACTCATCAGATTATCAAGAGTATTCAGGTGCTCCTGAATGCTTTCCTACAGTTCAAACTCTAGAGTTATTCACTTCACATTCATCTGACTTACCCCATAGCTCATCACATCCTTCGAAGAATGTTGGGAAATCACCTAAACATTTGTCAAATGACACAAAGCCCATCAAATATCCTGAACTTCTACAAAAAATTGGTGAAAATTGCAATTCTAACATTTCCGGTCCCAATCTACCGTTCATTTCTCATTCTACATATTCCAGTCGAACTCAGTCTTCTTCATCTTGTTCAATTAGACAACAGCTTGCAACTGCTCCGAGTCATCCACAACTTCACGTAAGTATACCTCAGTCTCCTCAGTCGATATATTCTGTATTCTCATGTTCACCAAATCAAAAGGTCGCAGTATCTAGTACTGTTAATTTGCCATCTAGTGATTCCACTTCAGCTACATTAATATTCAATGGAGATTTCCGATCACGGCCTATTATAAGCAGTACTGATAATTCATTTTGGTCCCATCCCTCAATCCCCAGTGGGTCCGCAGTCAATACTCAGATGATTACAAATTGGGAACATTCAGTACCATATCCTGCCTATGTACCCAATTCTCAGATAACTGGTTTTCTTCCCGAAAATATTTCAGTCACTGATAAAGCAGCGATTTATGTTAAAGATGGAAATTCAACAGCGATACAACCAGTTCTCGGAAGTGGATTGGTTGGCAGTTTCCAGTATTTGACACCAACTACTGTTCTCTCAAAACCCAATTACACCATTCTAAACGATCAGTTAACATTTAATCATCCACAAGAAACACTAATCCAACCATTTCTACCACAGATGAGTGACCCCATAAAAACAACACAAAATCTTAGAATCCCATTTTGTCAGGGCACAAAATACACTTTAACCCCAGGCATATCTATTCCTATTAATCCCGAACACTCGTTTGGTCGATTAGAAATGAATACTCATCGTTATTCCTCTGAATCTTCTAAAACAAATCCAGCCCTGACTTCTAGATCATCATCGTCACGACCATTTAATTCTCCGGTTCGTCGTGTAAGTTAGTTTTTAAAAGTTGTTATATTGTGATTTCTTTTCTACCATAAAATTTCTTCCTGGTTTGCGTTTTGATAACTAAACACAGGGTTTGTGTCTCTGTTTTTGAGTATGATAGGTACAGTACAAATTCAGTGTATTTTATCGGTACATGGTGGTGGAAGTGGTTAATGTTAGACAGTTTTTAAAAAACTGGAAACACTGGGCGGCCTTTTCGTGTTAGTATGGTACTCCTCAGCAGTGCTCATACCCGATCCTATATGCGGGACTCAAAACCAGAACCTCCGGTCTCTCGCAAACACCTAACTTCTATACCACTTAGCCGGGATCTGACGGTGTTAATGGTCGCTCAGTATCGTGGATTGGTTGAAGTTAATGTCTAACTTTAGTGTATTTTATTTAATGGGCGCAACGTGACCTCAAAAAGATCGGCACTAGATACGCCGTGTCCAAATGACATGCACTAGACAGCTAAATTCATCTGACTTTGTTGTTTTTCGTGATTTCGTATCTAAACTTGGCTGAAATAGTGACTATGTTTCTACATATATCCTATTTTAAAATCTTTCAAAAGTACATATCTATGACTTGAAAAGTCAAAAAGTATCTCTTTGAATCACAGAGCTTTAATTAATTATTATATCTGAGTATTTTTGTCGTCATTTATTCACTTGATCAGCTGTAAAAGCACTATATTTCGTTGTTAGGTAGTTGGATTTAGCTAACAGAAAATCTTGTGTCGATGTTTCATACTAGCCGGCATTCACCATCAAGGTCCCTGCAATCCTCAATGAACTAATGTTCTCAAATCGCTTTGAACCCAAGTCACTCAGTTTCACAGTAAGATGTCACTAAGTTGTTTGTGTCGCAATTGACCTCCTTCAGGACTTGATCGATAGAATTCGATCAAGACTATTTAACACTTTATATCAGCTTGATCAGAAAGGAAACAAAAGAGGCGAACTCCGAAAAGAATCAAATTAACAATATCAACGTTACAGTTAAAAACTAAACATAGGAATTATGATTGAAGAAAGTAATGCATAAAATTGGGAAGTGGAAAGCTTGGGATAAAACTGTTTAACAGTCAAATGATTATATAAAAGAACATCTCTGTGATAGAATTTGAATCTTGTCGTCTCAGGTCTCCAGTTGTTTATTATTATCATTACATTTTTTCAAATCTATACCAGTGAAACAGGAAATCGTTCAATTCCAAATCCCATTGTAACGGGACTCCTTACCAAAGAATGCAAGCCACTCAATATTTTGGCAGATATCACCACATAAACCTCCACTAATGAGAAAACATATTGACAATTTCTATGTCAGTAAAAAAAGGAGCAAGCATATAATTCAGTAAATCAGTTGGATTTATTGATTATGACTTATTTATTCTCAGAACGTTAGTAGATTAGTGTAAAACACACTAATTTCATTGATTAATTAGTTAGCTATTAGCCGACTAAATCACATAATTTATTCAAGTTCGAGCTATTGTATTTGGTGTATAATAAATCAATATGACAAATTAAGTAATGTATTTGAAATGTTAGAATCTAGTTTAGTTCCAGTTTATGAAGTTTTGCTGTGAAATGTGTTTATCATCTGCCCATCATTGTCTCCACTTTCTCTTTGCATTGTTGAGTCATATCAACAACACGATCAAAATGAATTATTATCAAATAGGGACTATATAGAAAAGTATATACTTCTTAGTTGAATATGTTAAATGATGATATGGTGTTACGTCTGGCCAATTGTGAACGCTATATTCGCTTCCCTAAGCTAGTTCCGTACCACCAAGCTAGAACTATACACCGACTTGAAGACCAGAGAAAAGGCACAAAGTGTGAGGGAAGCACTTTACTACAGGTTTCATTTATATACAGAAAATATAGGGATTTTATAGTAATTTAAGAGTCCTTGAGTTTTACCGAAAGTTCTAGAATACTGCTAAATATAGTAGCAGTATGTTAATCAGCCAATCAGGATCTCGCAATTTTAGTAACATAACTTCACACAACTTCTAATTAATCGCTGATTTTCCATGGTGGTCTAGCTTCAATTGACTCACGCTTTCAACTATGATAGTCGCTGATTGGTTGAAATGCTCCTTGATGACCCCTGAGCTTGTTATCTCGCTTGCGAGAAAAATGCAGGGTCATCCCAACATATGGATCGAAATCGATCTCAGTAACTATTAAGTTGCGTCATTCAATTCTTTATCTTCTATTAAATAATTGAGCTTAGCGATGTTATTCCACACTTTTCATTCATTTCTTTTTGAAATATAATTGCCAGTTTCATTTTCCTGTAACATTTACATCGTTATTATTCCAATTTTTCACTATTCATTTTGTTAATGTATTTTGTTTGTGTCAGCATGAAATATGGTAGCTTGGATTGATTTATAGACACTCATACTACGTAACCAATAAGATTGAATCAACTTGTTTACCTTTCTTTGATAACTAAAGGATATTTTTGTATGTTGACTCGAAAACATTTCTTTGGATCTTATCATGACAGTCAGGTCCGTTGGAGAACAATAAAACTAAAACCAGGGACTTAAGATCCGAGGACTAGGTTGTACCGCTAACTTTACTGGGTGTGGTGGCAGTAAAGTGTTTCCCTCAGGCAATAGCATTTGCAGCGACGCTGTCTTCTCACAATAAGACAAATTGTTCGCAAAATGTCGGCTCTAAAAATGTCACACCTCACCTTACCCTTTGGATTTTCGTTTCCGAAGGTAAGACCTCTTGAAATTTAAAGCTAGCACAATAAAACTGCCCATAGAAAGTATGTGTAAGACAGGCCTCAACCAGTTATCTCTTGGACCCTGTGGTCACGCTCCAAGGTCACCAAGCCCACCACTGATGCATTTTCCTTTTCAGGTCACTCAAGCAGAAGTATCGTCCCACGGTGCTGGCAACCTAGAAGTGACAACTGCCTTCATATCTCTAACAGTACTGGATATCCGCTTATCCAAATCCCTTTGTCACTTCTTAAGATTCCTTTTATCCCCACTACCAACCCTTCCATGATCTTATCCCCAAGCACCACCATTCCGGGCGATTTAAGTTTACGAAATGTTATTACTGGCCCCCTGAAATCGCTCTCCAAACCACATAGTGGGGCCTTCAAGGTTTAAACCTTTTGTCAAATCTAACAGTAGGCTTTCTTAGATAGGACTCTAGAAACTAGCACCACCGATGTATGTTGTCTCTCTGTGACATACACATAGGATGCAAGTATGGTCATCAGTCACTTGATCTTACCTAATCATTATAGAGAGCCGACCGAATTTACCCTCCATGGATCTAGGGATTCGACTGCTACTTCTCGTGGTCTCGCTGGCGTAGGTGTAGTATCAAGTTCAAAAGCAGGACAAGGTCTCGTGGACTGAATTCTAACAGACAATCACTCACGAGCTCTCCGACTAGGTGGCGCAGTAAGTACTCATAAAGAGCGATACATTCCCTTGCTTCTTCATCGCCTCTGCCCACGCTCCCACTAAGTGGAGTTCTGATGAAGTTAAAGATAAAGTTCATAGAAGTTTTTTAATCCTTGAAATTTAAACGCTCAGATTTATTAATAGTGTAGCGAACGAGACTCGCGTGGGGACAACGAGTTTATTATTTAATACCAAATTACAAAATCATACATTATATATTTTATTTGAAACTCATTAATTGTACTTAACTTTCTGTCTGATTCTTTCAGTTCACAATTCAATTCAATTTCCCTTTCTGTTTTCTTCAATCCGATCTTCTTAGCCTTCTGCTGCCAGCCATTCAACTTGGGATTGGTGTCACACACTACTTATGTCGACAAACATAAGTAGTATACACCACAACAGTATCAGGCGATTTTAATGCCCAAGTGGGTGGCATAAACTAAACTGTAAGGCTTTTAATTTTTGCAGCTCAGCGAACAGATAATGGCGATCAGCTACTGTAACTATACTTAGATAATCGTTTATTCCTATCAAGCACAAACTTTAAGCATAAAGAAAGACACCGTCTGTTATGGAGACCCTCAGGATTGATTAAATGATTGATGCAGATAAACCACATTGAAGTTAGTCATCGTTGGAAGATTCAACATAAGATTGTTGCTCATTTTGAAGCACATTTTTAAACTCTAATCATGTTCTAGTGAGAGCACGTGTTTGCCTGTGTCCTCCTGGGCTCAGAAAAGTCATAGCTGGAAGACCCCTTACAGCTGACCTTAATAAAGGAAAAGTCAAGAGTATATTTCAAGAGCAACAAGAGAAGCAACTAATCAGTCATAAAAGTGACGTCTATCCTGACGTAGCTTGGCGTGATATCCAAACAGCAGTGATATATACCGGTATCTCAAACCAAAAGATTAAGAAACATCAGTGGATTTCAGTGGCACCTGCCGAATTGATAAATGCTCGGAAACTTATCCCGTCACGTTCAGAATACAATTAGGTGCAAAGGCAGTCTAAATTCAGACTAACAAAAAGCCTGCCCAGCAATCATGGGAAATGATGATCAGCAAAACCAGAAGATATAGAAAGAGCAACGGCAACACGTAAAAGTAGATAATTATTCCGATTCATCAAAGGAACATGTGTTAGAAATTATGTTTTTAATGTTATCATTTCGTAAAGAGACGGAACCACTATTCATTCTCATTCCAGGAGATTAGACAGGTGGACATAGCATTACAGGAAACAGTTCAACTGGCCTCCAACTACCCCTTGATAACTCACTACTCCAAACACAAACAAAACTGGAGACTGAAGCAAACCCCTAAATATTAATGAATTTGAAATATTATAGCTAATCTAAATCAAGGGATAGCAGCAGGAACTGATGGATTAATCCTGGAGATCTTTAGGGACGCTTTTCTAGTACTAACAGTTAGATGGACTAAAATATTAGCTAGAATTTAGAAACTGATCCAATTGGAACCAATCACTGAAGGTCCCAGTTTATTAGAAAGTACAAAAGTTCTCTTATAGCAAATACAGAGGAATCAAGTTGTCTATCTACCGACCAAAGAATGAGTTTATTACGCAGCGGTTGTCTCCGTTTTACTTTATGGATGTGTAACACGACCTTGGGAATTATATTCGTAGGTTACTAGTATTCAATCACGTGTCTTCGAAGTATTGATCGCTTATGTTGGGACTACCGAGTAAACAATCGTGAGGTTAAGTAAAGGTAAATCAGTTGATGAGGTAGTAAATCTCCATCAACTGGTGGTTGGAACATGCATTACGTATGCTTAACCACAGCCTACCTCTACGGGATAATGTCGTCTGGTGTAAGAGTAGACTGGAAGGAAGCTAAAAGCTCCCATACCAAGATATGGCATCAGTCTATAAAGACATTGATTGTTAGTCTGAGGCTACCTAGTTCAGGTCATCTTCATAACTTCAATCAATGCCTAAAGATGTTGAGTGAATCGACTCACAATCGTTCACAATGGTGTAGGTGTATTCACTGTTTGTCAACTGTTAGGTCTTGAGTATTGAAACGTATACTTTCTAATTTATCTTCAATCTATTATGCTGCCACTGATATTGTTACTACCTTTTTTATCCCGAGATTTTTCCTGATAATATCATCTTGTTGTGCTAATGTGATACGGTATCGTTAACCGATATACAGACATCTCATGTTCCATGTTGTGTATGACGGATTTTTGTACACAATCATTATTATACAAAATAAACCCTATTGCATATGAACAGTTCATCGATTAAAATCACATCAAACGGTATATCGGTTTAAATTTTCGACTATTATTTTATCATCATTCCAACCTTTTCAACTAATGTACTATTGACACAATAAATTAGTTTTTTATACATTTGATTTTAAAATATTATTGTAACAAGATTTGTTCCTATTGTGCTGATTCGGTTAGTAATTAGCATGTGTAGCTGAAATTCATATGCTTAAATCACATCATTATTAAGGGGATGATCACGTCCTATGCAAATGTGTCAGCATGTTTTCATCTTTCAGTTGTACCCTTCGTAACAAGCCCATATGTCTCTCTCTAACCTATACTGTTGCATCACTGTCATTATGTCGCCAAATGAGACTCAATAAAGTAGTGTACAATTTACTGAAATCTATTATCGCTTCGTATTTTCGTCCCCACTCTCCCCCCATTCCCATGACTACCTAACCACGTCAAGAAATAGGTATAGTGGTCCGTAAGTCTGAACACATTTTACCTAATTACAATTGATTGATCACTGGGTGGTGATCGATGTCATGTGTGTCAAGTCCTTCTTAGTGCAAGTCGAATGCTATCGATCAAGTTGCAATGTGGCCACTAATCTAGGTGGCTCGATACTGCGTGCACTATGTTGAGATAAGATGATGGTTGGAGGTGGTCAACAGAAAACCCTGAACTCAGGTTTCGTGCTACCTTGCACTCGTCCGCAAGGTGTACCTGTAATCTTGAGGGAACTGGTGCTCCCTGATGGATTCGATCCCGTGTCACTCAGCTTCACGATCAGAGACGTTACCACTGAGCTATCCGGGTCGCGACCAACCTAATCAGACAAGTGGATAAGATACTGCGTTGAATTCATGCTAATGATATTCCCCATTTACAATTGATAATTCCCCTGACTTTGAAGTTGATTTCTGTCACGATTAACCAATCTCATTTCACTTCCGGGTTCCTGTTCATTGTGTATGAGAACTCGACCTCCAGGTCACTTGACGAAATACAGTCTTTAACTTTATGTTAGATAAACATAAAAAAATTGTTATCAAGTAGTTAGCGACTCGATTTCACCAGCTCCAAATTCATTTTATTTTGAATATTGTTGTGTCGTGAGACACTGTCGATATCACGTGTTGTATTGCCTCATCAGTATTTCGATTATTGATTAGTTTCACCTATATCGCCAGTAGGACTGATGGCCTTCTAAATATCAGTTGGCACATTGACCAATGAAAAACAACTTGAGATGAAGGTAGAAGGTAGATCAGTTCTCTGTTGTACTCAAATCAATCATGACTCAAAAACGGATACAATAATATACTTGAAATAACTGACCACACAACACACCAAATAAAGAAGAATAATACTTAAAGCACAAGCATACCATAAATGGTAGGAAGCGAAACAAACAGTACAGAATTAATTATCAATAACTAAGGGATAGTAAAACGTATAGGGAGAATTAACAGGCCTATTGAGTGCTTACAATAAGAGGAATACATAGATGCAATAACACAGTTATCTACTAACCACACAATAAAAATATAGATAATAATACGAAAATAGTTCAGACAGTTCCAACTTTTCCAATGTTCGTCGCGTTATATATAATTATTCAATAAGAATGCGTGTAATAATAGTCCATAAATAATTCCTAGCACTTACTATTCATTTATTCTTCGTTTGATAATAACAGTATCATTTACCAGTAGCACCTAATTTCAATATATATAATTCTCCCGTTTCTACACACCTCGCCTTGTCCCACGGATATCCGTCTCCGGTGGTAAGGTCCCAACAAGTACGGAGCTAACACAAAAACTACCCACAAAAAGGTTGTGTGTGACCGACCTCAAGCAGTTGTCCCTTGGGCACTGCGGTCACGCTCTCAGGTCATTAAGACCACTTCTAATCCAATTTCCTTTTCAGGTACCTTTCAGGAACCCTTCCACGTTGTGCGGACAACCGTGAAGTGATAACTGCCCTTATACCTCTGACAACATCACTCAAGACTATCTTCTGAATCCATCTGGTTACATATATATAAGATGTAAATGATTTTTCTAAAAATCAATAATTATATTGTTAATAACGTTTCAAAGTTTAATTATTCATTTAATATTCTCAATATCTATTAAACCATTGATATTTGTTTTATGGATGTATCATTTGCTTAATTATAGATAGCTAACTAATAAGTGGTATCATTAACTTTTATCATCGTTTATTCTTATAAAATAATCAATATAAAATGACTAAATGGAACAGTATTTTCTACTCTGCTATATCTACTTTAATGATGATAATTAATAAGTTAATTTTCATGATATATTAATGTATAATTCAAATTTTAACTCTTTTAAAACTTATTTTCTACAGAATTCTGTTCCTTTTCAATCAACTTATCAGAATTGTATGAATTTCTCTGAAACAGCTGCTCATCAATCTGAATGTTCTATTGTTGTATCTCAATTATCTACTAAGAAATTAACTACACCGGTTTTATGTTGTATATCATCCAATTCAAATAATATCCCAATAATAAGTCAACAATCGCCCAATAATAATAATAATAATAATAATAATAATAATATTGTATTCAAAACAGATAATATAAAGCAACATATTATTGATCAAAATATTTTGACTAAAACTGCTACTACTACTACTAGTATTGTTCAACCATCAGAATTATGTCATATTCAACCGATTTTAATTTCATCTCCGGTTAAAAATAATAATAATACACATAATTTAGGTACCGGTTCTTATATTGATTCAAATTGTTTATCAAATCAATCAAATAATGATAAATCACATTCAATAACACCCTCCTCTCCACTATTAACAAATTGTAATTCACCATCATCAACATTACAATCATCTACTGTATGTTGTTTGTTACGGCCATCGGGACGTTCAACTAGTACAAGCAGTGGAAGTAGTTGTGGTAGTTCCTGTAGTGGTACTGGTGGTGGTGTGTCTGTTTCATCTGGACAGTATATTTGTGTAATATGTTCCGATCGTGCAAGTGGAAAACATTATGGTCAGTACTCTTTGTAGTTTTTATCTTTCTTAAATTGTTTTACCATTTTTTAACTTCCTCTAGTTCATTCATACATTTTCTCTCCCTCCCTCCTCTCGCTAACAAAAACTAATGATACAAATTATTAGTTGTTTCGAAGTCAACTCCTCATTCCATTTGATTAAGTGGGGTTATCTCACCTTCGTCATAGATGACGTAGGTTGGTAAAAGCCAAATGAGCTTTCTGAATCCGTGCACAGATTTTGTCAGACACCAACCCAATAGAGTTGATCAGACTTTCAAGATAGGTGAAGTTGTCGATGCGTTCGACTACTTGCATTTAGAGGGGGAAGAAACACATCCCGAACATTATGGTATGCTACTAAAATACTTTATTTTATCAGCGTCTTCACGAAACAAGACTCTGTCATCTGCGTATTCGAGGTCGATGAGTGGACCTACTGGAAGGTCAATTCCTGAAAATTCAGATGACGAGAACGTTATTCGCAGTAGTAGGTCTATGATGAAATTGAACAGCAATGGAGATAGTGGATAGCCTTGATGGACACCACTTGCAGTTGCAAAATCAGATGACAGTTCACCATAAGCTCTGACTCGACTAGTAGTGTTCGAGTAAAGAGCCTTCACAAGGTTTATGTACTTCTGAGGTACACCTTTCAATGACAGACACTGCCACAGAATCTCTCGGTCAACAGAGTCAAATGCTGCTTTTGAGTCAAGAGAAACTATCATATTCGGACGCTTATAAGCATGCCTGTGTTCTAAGATCTGATGAATATGTGGTCGGTTCAGCCACGACCGGGTATGAAACCAACCTCATTTCCTCGTGTTTGCAGTTCAATAGTCCTTGTTAGGTCTCCGATAATTATTGAGGCTAGTATTAATTAAACTAATCCCTCTATGGTTATCACAGGATGATTTTGATCGTTTCTTATATATTGGTACGATCAGTGATTGTGACCAGTCAGATGAGATTACGTCCAACTCCCAGATTTTAGCTAACATATTAGTCAACCTAACCGCTAAAATTGAACCACCATACTTAAAGACCTCTGAAGCCAATCCATCTGGACCAGCTGCTCTTCCTTGTTTCAGATTAGTTATAGCTTTTTTAACTTCAACTAGAGTCGGGGGATCTACTTCAATGTTCCATTCAGGCTGCTTGGGAGTGGTGGGTTGTTGTAGAGTAGCTGAAGGCCGGTTAAACTACTTCTTAAAGTGTTCCATCCATCGTTCTAAACGTCTGGGCTGAGGGCAGATAAGAGTGTCTTCTTTTTCCGAAATCGTCTCATTTACACTCAACTTCTTAATTTCGGTTTCTTTTATTAGTCTGAAGAGTTGCCTGGTGTTGCCTACAGCCGCTGCTTTTTTCATCTCTTTTGCTTTCGTTGCCCACCACTGCTCACAGTTGTTCCTTAGACTTTTGGTTAACCTAGATTTAGTTTGTTTTCGCTTGTCATCGTGTTCAGAGCCTGATGGGATGAGTTTACGAGAATCTATCAGTGCAATAGACTTAGAAAAAACCCACTGGTTTTTTGGAGCCCTATGGTTTAAATAACTAATAGATGTTACTGCTGTTTCCACAGCTGTTCGTATGTCTTTCCAAGCAACATCTGGGTCAGCCTCGTTTACAGAACTGCCTAGGTGTGAACTCAGTTGTTCCTGGAATTTGCATTTGGCTTTCTTGCCCTCTAGTTCAATCCTAATGAGTCTTCTTAGTGTAGTTTTCCTGCGTCCATTGAGGCGCAGACAAATGCGTGTTCGTATTAAAGCGTGATCAGAGTCTAAACAAGTATTCCAATACGAGCGACAATCTTCTATTGAGCTTCTCCAACGATGACTGATGGCAATATGGTCTATTTGAGTCCATCGTTGGTTTGGTGCAGGTGGTCGTCATGTTAGACGATGTCTCTCCTTACGCTTAAAATTAGTGCTTGATAAAAATAAAACGATTGTCTAAGCAGAGTTGCAACAGACGATCACCATTATCTCTTCATTGAGCCGAAATACTAAAATATCCACCTAAATGTTTGAGCGTTTAACTCTTTGAAGAAACCCAGAAAGCTTTCTGTAAAAGTCATCTTTCACTTCATCTGGGCTGCAGTTCGTGGTAGCGTAGACATAAACGACGTATGTCCCTATCCTTCCTAGTCCCTGAGTACTAGCCATTCGGTCGCAAGGTACACGGATGGTGTATCTCGTCGGCTCTTTGTTTTGGAGAGGTGAGGTCAAGTGAATGACCACACTAGGATCCTGTATGTGTTTTTCGGAGACACAGCATGTATCAATGGTACGAGATTCTAGGGTTGACCGATTTGACATAGGGCGCTTATGTTGAAGGCTCCAATGTGTAATTTGGAGCGAGGTTCCGTTACACCTCTGTACAGTCAGCAGTACGACTTCGCCTTCGAACCTTGGGTTTGCTGTTTTTAGTCTTACTGCTTTTCAACTGACCTGTCTGACATGGTAGGATCTTGAGTAACGATTGTCCTAGCCGGTATAGCTCGATTGGTTCGTCACGATAGGCAAGCCCGACCACCACTTCAAGGTAGTAGCAACGGATTCGGAACTTACACTCACTTTGGGTAGCGAGGGGATAGAAGTAATCGAGGATTTTGTGTATCTGGGTAGCTGTATGACTGTTGGTGGTATCGTGACGAGATAAATTTACATAGGGAAAGCTTGAGCGGCCTATACCAATATGGGCCATTTTGGCGTCCTTGTGACTTTGGTCTGATTGCAAAAGGTCAGGTTTAAAACGCATCGGCGACAATAGTATATATATATATATATATATATATATATATATATATATATATATATATATATATATATATATATAAGTTAAATGATTTTGTTATCAGTTTCCAGGCGTGGTAATGTTGCATATGTTTGCAAATCATTTTCGTTCGGTGCAAATTTCATGAATAACGATCACATTGGACTAATTTCATGTAAACAGATAAATAGCTCCTAAACTATACCTTATTATGTGCTCATTTTGAACTCAAGATTTGAATGCTATAAATATCTTTATATTATTTTTCTACTTATAATATGAATTTCCTCTTTTGAGATCCTAATCAAAGAGGCATATTTTTAACTTCTTAGTTAAATTAATAGATTTAAAAATTTTATATTTGTGTAGGTGTACGCGTGCCGAATTAGGGGCAGTTTTATTGAAAATTTCTTGTCATGCTCTTATAGGTGTCTTTTCGTGTGAAGGGTGTAAAGGATTTTTCAAACGGACTGTACGTAAGGAACTCACTTATATTTGTCGAGATAATCAAGAATGTCAAATTGATAAACGACTACGTAATCGTTGCCAATATTGCCGTTATCAGAAATGTTTACGGGCGGGAATGCGACGAGAAGGTCAGTCTATAGATTAGTCCAACTCTTTATTTATTTATATGCCGATTTTCATTTCCTGTCCAATGTGAAATTGAATGCAATGTTTTAACTTTAATCTTGTTTTCTTCAGTTCTTGTTATCAAGAAAAATCTCGGGATAAAAAAGGTAGTAACAATATCAGTGGCAGCATAATAGATTGAAGATAAATTAGAAAGTATACGTTTCAATACTCAAGACCTAACAGTTGACAAACAGTGAATACACCTACACCATTGTGAACGATTGTGAGTCGATTCACTCAACATCTTTAGGCATTGATTGAAGTTATGAAGATGACCTGAACTAGGTAGCCTCAGACTAACAATCAATGTCTTTATAGACTGATGCCATATCTTGGTATGGGAGCTTTTAGCTTCCTTCCAGTCTACTCTTACACCAGACGACATTATCCCGTAGAGGTAGGCTGTGGTTAAGCATACGTAATGCATGTTCCAACCACCAGTTGATGGAGATTTACTACCTCATCAACTGATTTATCTCACGATTGTTTACTCAGTAGTCCCAACATAAGCGATCAGTGCTTTTTTTTACCTGGTTCTTCTGATTGGCCACTGTATTAGAAGGAGCTGGAGGACCAATAAGCTTTGGTGTGGTGGGTTGTTGTTTATTGATCGATGTGTCAGCGGTTATCTAGAAGGTCATATTTCTTACTGGTGATATAGGTGAATTTATCGATAACCGGAATCCTGACCGGGCAGTGTTGCACATGGTATCGATTGGTGATCACAAGCCACAACAAATCGTTTTAAAACGAATGTTTACCGTTATCCAACCGATCTTTCCGGAATGATAGTACCTAACGGAACAAGTTTTCTGGCTTGATTGGGTCATCACGATGGGCAAGGTCGATCACCACGTCTGGGTATTTATGATTCTGTTGTTGTTTGTTGACTATCTATCTAAAGTTCATTGTGTAAAGCTCATAGAGCAGGCTTAAGGCATCACAGTGTTCATAATGCTTAGTGTGTCTTATTAACGGGACGGAGTCATTAAAAAGAAGTGGTTGTCTTAAGTCTCCTTATTTACGACCTAGTGTTCTCGGATTCTTGACTTCACTCAACTGGTTTCCAAATCAAGACACAACTTGGACTTCACATATTTCATTGACAAGAAAGAGTATCAGTATAAAGTTGTGGAGTTTCATTGAAACCATTAACCGATCAGTGTTGGACAACCATTGAAAGCCTGAAAGCCTATTTCTGCCAAGTAATAGACTCCTCAGAAGTGCTCATCCATGACGCCACACGAGAGGGAATTTTTCAAGTTTCAGTGGGAAGACGTGACCAGCGGAGTACAGCCGTGTTGGGTGCGAGGCAATTACCCACGGAAAACAATAAAATATGGTCGGGAGATAGCATTGATTGTTTAAAATCAGACATTACCGTTAGATGCCGAGTCATGAGTCTAGGACTTATGCGTTTGGGCGCGAGACGAAGATCTTGGCTTTGATTCCCGCTTGTAAGATCATGAATGGGAACTGCTGAGGAGCTCCATAATTGGACAAAACGACCGTCCAGTGCTTTCAGATTTTCAATCGTGGTCTAACATCAATTAACGATTCTGTTGGGGGAAAAAATGAATGTTGACATCTTTATTTAGTGATAACGGAATCTTTGATACAATAGGGCATCGAAAAATGCAACACATAAAAGAGTTGATAATTTTGTATAGAACGGCGAATTAAGGTAGTACAATCAATGAAGCAGTGACTTAGTCAGTGGCAGGGCTCATCCTTGATTCCATATGGGCTGCAATCCGTCGACATGTAGGCGAGGGTTTCAAAAAACGTTGCCACTCGCCCAAGTTTCTCTTCATTTTTATGCAATCTCCCAATCGAACAGCTGATAAACTATTCCTAATAAGAATCCAGTCGATTAGTACCATCTTGCTAGCGCTTAATACGATACGGACTCCACCGAATATGTACTCCAATATTGCAGAATCCCCCGAACAAGTGCACAGGGAAAAAACTTTTCATATCAATAGATAAAGGACTTCACTAGAGCCTTGAAGGAGACAAGTTTTAGTGGTACACTTGGCTTCAGAAATGTCTTATTAGATTTCATAAAATCGTCCATTCAGCAACTGAATATTGTATAGATAAGACAAAACTTACAGCTTAGGCCAACTGCTGTGTGAGTTACAGATTTATATTCGTGTGAGAAAACGTATAATTAACATCAAAATAAAGCAAAATAGGACGACAAAGTAATGTAAAATAAAGTTGACTATAATTAAATAATTAAAAATTCCATATATGTTAAGCATTAGCATACCAGATAACGAAATAATAATCCCCCTCTTTCACACATATGTTCAAGGATCCTACCCTAGAACCCCAATCTGAAGCATGCTTTTGCTAAGGGACCGCCTCCTAAGCTTTAGACCTGAAGGTCTAGTCCGCAAGGTATTTTAAGATCAACATTTCTCTACTCCCCTAGGAAGACTGAATATCCACCCAAGCATTTTGATCACCTGACATCCGATTTTCATCTTCCATTTCTTTTATAAAACCATCCTCTCCACTTAAAGTCAGTAAGTAGAACTCTCCTGACAAAAGCTGAAGTACGCTAAGTCGTATGAGAATGTTTCGAGAGCGTTAGTACACTCTCGACCATACCAGAGCAAACTACCCTGAACAGTTTTATCTCATTAATTTTTTTCTTTATCTGCAATTTTAGCCGTTCAAGAAGAACGTCAACAACAACAGCTCCACTCTGAAGTCCAAAGATCACCAACTCCACCTGAGCAAAATTGTGATTTATCAGTTAACTCAATGATTATGTCTGATACAAAAATAACTAATACCATGAATCATTCATGTTTAGCCGAAAAACAAGAAATAATGTTAAAAACAACTAATTGTACATCATCTAGTCCTCACTTACTTTCGAATTGCTCAGATAATAGTATAAATTATTTCTACTCAGCGTCGAACGAAAAATCTCAACAACTTTCAATAAATGACAATTTTAATCTCACTGTTAATGATGCTGCAACATATCCACCTCAAGAGTTATCTTTAATCAGTAATAAAGATAGCAACAACGTGACATTACCTCTGGCAGACATTCATGCATTGAAACTCCCAACAACAACATCCGCAGCCATTCCACCGCCACCTGATGCCTTAGAATTTATCAGGACAGCCGAATCGACTATTTCAAGTAGACGTAAACAATGGTTGAGTGCTTTCAATAAACAACAATGTCATGCAGAGATTGCTAAATGTTTTCAAGACAGTATGGAAAATCTTAAGTGGTTGGAAAATAATTTTGAAAAGGTTAGTGTTCTAGGCGTTTCGTGTCCCGAATATTCAATGAATTGTTGGTTTCTTTTTCAGCTACTTTGATATTTTGCCTGCTTTTTATCTTTCAATTTGCAAAGCATACCCTTTTGTTTGTTATAAATTATGAGTCCTGACTTTGTCCCATCCTATCCCAGTCACCTTTATGTTATGGATTAGAATTTTGTGAAAGAAAATTCTAACCGACTGGTGATATCCCATCATTCCATTTGACTAAGTGGTGGTTACTCGTGAAACCACGCTATTGGCTCAACCCCATGAATGATTTAAATTTAAATGCGAAACCAATATCCGGAAGGATAGCGTTTAAAAAAAAGAATTACACAAACTACTAACTTAAAGTAAATATAATAAATTATTGCTGTGTATATACGTTTGACTTTTCCCCTTATTTGCTTGCTGTGCTTCTGGCTGCTACGGAATATAACTTCCTCGCTTCCAACTTGGACTTCTTACTCTAGTTAGCTGGGTCTGGGTCGCGTCAGAATAGCTAGCTTATCGGTCTCTGGTCATAAGTCTTGTTCCGTTCGCTACTAGTGAATTCGTAACGCTTTAGATATAACAATTATCATGAGCGATTAGACGGGAGTCAGCTCGTATTTCGCTCACCCTCCTCTATCCAATCAGTCAAGACCTGATTTTTAAGCTTAATTCTTAGCGACTGTATCAATATAATTATAAATTGTTCTTTCTTTGGTATGTCGGTTCGCTTTTTTCAAATACTTTGACGCATTAAAATGTTTAAAAACTCAGCAACCAAGCATGCAAATGTGTGATGAAATTGTGCTACGGTAAAGAAAATTACAGACTTTAGTGGTGGTAGCATATAAAAGATAGGTTTTATATAAGGATATAGTATAGTAAGGAAGAACGTTATGAAGCAATTTTAATCTCAATGTTTGAGGGAAGATAAAGAGTGTATACACCTACGCCATTGTGATCGATTCTGAGCCATGTCACCTACAGTCTCCAACCATTGGTTACGATGGTCACGCGGACCCCAATCAAGTAGTTTGCATCTATCAACATGACTCAGACTAGAAGTTAGTGACTTCAAGCACTGATGCCACGTTTTGGTTTGATGATCGTTATTCTTTAAAAAAAAATAAATGAAAAATATTTAATATGTATGAACTGATTTGTTTTTACACAATTTAGTTTAGATTCTTTAACTATCTCCACTATCCTACTTATTGTCAATTGAAAGCCTACAACTTTCCATATAATTTGTATCAATTAAAATTTTTTATAAACTAGCTATTTATTGAAATTTCTAGTTACTTTCAACTCTCTCGTTTGTGTACAAACCAACACCTTATTTACAAGTGTAAGAATAGCTACATTGTCTGCGAATGTTTATCATTGTTGTACTTGTTTATGGTTGTATTTTTCTTCTGTTGTAAAACAGAAAAAAATGTTGTAAGAGTAACTTTCATAAAAAAATTAATATCCCATCAATATACTGATTTTATTTCTAATGTTATTTTGTTTTATCAACATTGTATATAGTTAGAGTATTACTTTCATTCGTTTAAACTTTTTTAATTATCAAACTATTTTGTTCATCAGTAATTTCTCTCTCTCTTTCTTCTTATCTACAGTGTACAACTAATCATTTACCACTGCTTGATTTAGTTATCTGGTCGTCAAAACTTCCGTATATCTGTCAACTCTCGTGTGGTGTTCACTTAGACCTCCTTAAATCAGGTACAATTATGTTTACATACATTTCCATTTTTATATATATAGTCTTTGCAGGAGGCTTACCCTGCGATCTATAATTGTTGCTAGATATTATCAATGATACTGTACCCAACTAATTCTATGTAGTTTGATTTTTATTTAGAAATATTTCTCGTTATGGATTGACATCAATTAAAAGAATCATTTAAAACCCGAACTAACATTAATTATCTTTTCATCGTAGTTTTGAGACAGTATCACTCACTAGCAATCCCATACAGATTGTTAAGTTTTCTAGTTTTCGTCATAAACTGACCTTAGAATGTCATTAAGCACCAGGAATCACTGGACAGTTGTTTTGTTTTAACTTTTACCTAAACACTGTGCATCCACGACCCTAGCATCCAATTGAGTTTATGACCTTCAGTTCTCATAGAGACAACTTAACTTTTAGACTATTGAGTAGACATTCAATGATTTACATTTTCAACTTTAAGTCATGACCAGTGGGGTTCAACCTTGTCGAGTGTGAGAAAGTTATGCACCAAAATAATTTAGTCGCACAACAATGCATATTGATGATTGAAGTTAAAAATACAAACCATTTTCTGTCTAAGTGCTCTCCACGGAACCTGAAGGCCCTGGGTTAGATTCTCGTTAAGAGTATGAATGCCCACTGCTGAGTTCAATACTGAAACCAAACAACTATGCAGTGCTTACTGGTTTTCAGTAGTTATTTAACTAGGATTGATCTATGAAATAAACTATGAAATCCTATACAAAACCGAACCAAAGATATTCGGTTCTGAAATTCAACTTATCAGCAACCGAATGGTATCATAACTACCTTGAAAATTGAAGTTTTTAGATATTTCAGCTCATGTGCCGTCGTCGTAAATGATTACCTTTAATTTATTTCATTTTGTGATAATCCAACTGTTCAGTTGTACCCTTTAACATTAAGAAATTCTCCAATAAATTTCATTCAGATGAAAATTATCTCCAATTTAACAAATGCCTACAAACCCTAATTGATTATTATTATTATTACAATCTCTTCCGAAATAAGTAATGTACATATTAATCGATACTCAAACTTTTTGTTAGGATTATATTTCCAATATATATATATATGCTAGCTACTGTTGAGTTCCATTTATGAGATGAGAGGAGAAAGCATTACCTCCGTTAATATCGTAGAAAAGTTGTTTAAGTCATTATTATAATTCCTGATAGTTCACAAAAATTCACAGCTAGTAAGAACAACAATGTTTGTTTTTTCTTAGTGGGTTGAATTACTCGATTTTCAAATACTCACTCTATCTATTTTTTCGGTAACTGAATGTTCTCCTTCAAAACGATAAGTATATATGTGCATATTTAATTGATAAGTTGTAATAAATTAATCAACTGGTTATCCAATTGATATTTGTTTATTTAACATAATTTTGATATCGGCCATCAGAATTACAGTTAACCTTTCAATCATAATTAACGTAAAACTTGAGACAACTATGTGTGTTGTTCCAATATTCCATACATCATTAGCACGACGTGATGAAATTAACAAAGTGAATGACAACGAAATCGAAATAATATAATAGCAATCATAAGTTAAAAAGACTAAGCAGTGACAATAACGATTTAGAAAGACAGAATAGTGTTTTATGTTCAAAGGAATACTGAAACTCAAAATCTAGACTACAATAAGGAATGAATGCATTTACTCCATCGCGATCTATCCTAAATCATTCTGCTATGTCCGAGGAATTAGGATGTCACCTAGGACCGCCGAACAGAACGGAAGTCAGAAACACAACAACAGGACAAGCCAAGTTATTCCTCTGCGCCCCAGTCTTGGTAACTAGAGGAGAAAGACTATATTCAGCCAGGGAAATATATAATTCCACAAACAACCCGGACGAGTGAAAGAACAAGCACATAACTCATGTATATGTCTTTGGAAAACGTCACAAGCTAGAGTACTAAAAGAGGAAACGAACCAATGATATTTAAGGTCCTTGCAGGTGCGAAACACAAACTGGGGGTGGTGGTGGTGAAAGTGAATGCTTTTGGCGCGAAAGTGGGGAATCCAAATTTCCATAATTATATTACGAAAATGAGAAGTTTACCAAGTGATTTCTGCGTATTTAGCATCCCCAACACATCCTACGCAACATCTCAAAACATTGATGGGAGTTATCATGTAGACCCCAACCAGGTAGTCTAAAATATTTCCAATATGACTACGATCAACAGTCAATGACTTCATGGACCAACTTAAAGAAGTTTTAGTTTAATGTTGCATTTATGCATCATTCTCACCTTCAACTAACTTGTTTAAATTTCAAAAAGATTTCCTTTCTTGATCAGTTTAAAAAAAAAGCCCACATGATACAAACTTAAAATCTCTTTTGTTCTCCCTTCAGCTAACTAGCTACCTGTTTATAGTTTCAAATCTTTGCACCCCTCTATCATAGTTTACAGTCAAGTTCAAATTCATAGTATTCATGATTGATTCAATTATTGTTGACCTAAAAATCAATTCACATCAACTATAATTTTGAATCAATGAGTTTATTATTTGTGTGTATCATCAATGCATTGTAATAATATCAAAATGTATGTTTATTCATTTAGTTATATGGGTCAAATCTATACATCTCTCTATCATCGATTCATACGTTCCACGTGTTGTAATTTATTCCAAATAATTTTATCGAATACACTATATATTTGTTATTATTAGTGGAATTGTTAAGAAAATGATCTTTGGGAAATTACGGGATTCTTTTTCACAAATAATGAACTGTTTTTTTTTCTCGATCAAATCAAAAAACAAATCTCACTTTTATATCGTAATGTAATCTCTTCATACATTAGTATATTTTTGTTAAGAAATATTTATAACAATTTGTATTTACCTGTCATTGATGTTAACATCTTCACTTGATGATCAGTCTTCACTGATATTCGTGCATCCTGACCGGATTGCCTTAATATTGTTATTTCGTTATAGGTTGCGTATATACTAATAAAGATTGGTTAGTTACAGTCTTTAACATGAATACGCGAAAATACGAACCCTTTTAAATAAAATTAATATCCTATAATGGAAGTTCATTGTACATCTACCGTGAATTCTTTATTTTAGTCCATGTCTTATGGCATTGTACTCAACTCAACTTATTACCCTGCAATCGAAGTATCATGTTAAGAACAGTTTATATCGTAGACTAACTTCAGCTAAACATCCATTTCATTTTAGTATGTGCACACCCACAATCTCACGAACTATGAATCATCAAACGTTGCGGTTAGCACGTTATTCTTTATCACAATAGTCTATCCTTCTCACTTCAGTCACTTAACGATATTGCGTCACTATCATCTATTGCCTTCAGCGACGCATCTTTCTCCTATCTTGGTGTCATTCAACTCTGCCAGTCATGTTAATACCTGAGATTTTTATGTTTGGAAATCATATTGGTCATTAGCATCATTCTGATCTTCAAAGTATTAGGTTTGTGGGTAATTGTACTTTGGATATAACTGACCGTTTGTTAAACATCATGGAAAGCCTTCACAACATAAAGCCTCTCGCCGTTCTTCTCAGTTATTATGTTCTTTGCTATTCATAATAATCCAATCATTTTTTTCTCTTTATTTTTCACTAGCATGCATGCAATTGATCATAGTGAATTTAGTTTATTGGTTAGCAAACGATCATAAACCTCGTTCATTCTCAACATCAAACTCTACATCTAAACTTCCCGATACTACTCCCACTATCAATAGTACTGATATTTCCAATATAACTGACGATCCTCCTGAAAATTCAATCTCATCAACAATATCAGATATATCTAAAGACTGTACAATACAAATGAAAAAAATAAATAAATCTGTTCCATCGGATGAGAAAATGGATTATTATTACTCGAATTTCCCAGAATTTCACTTATTAAATAATTTAACAAAACCAATGGATAATAATAATAACGATTCAATTTCTTCAAAATCAACTAATATTAATGACAATAGTGTAGATGATGATATGATTCGAAAACGTAATACAAATGTTTACAAGCTAATTTATAATTTAGCTATAAAGCTTAGAATGTTAAACCTGGATCCAGTGGAACTGGGTTGTTTAAAATTGATTTTACTATTGAATCCAGGTAAGATTTTTCATCGTATTTCGCTCCCATTCTGTAATTTTTGAAAGGGAAGAGGACTGTTTATTTTATTCAGATTATTCTGGTAGCCGTCAAGTGCATACATTTAGCGAAGAGGGTGGGGTTGTTAAACAAAATGTAACTTGCTTGTCCGACATAGACCATAAAAATTCGAATCCGAAGTAACTGTAAAGGTTATATGATACTTACAATCGCTTTATTCATATCATGTGTTTAGCGCAATATAGAATTTTCATCACACAGTATTTAGTCATGGCTACCAAGTGCTGGGAGTTGATTTGTTCTCTCACACAGTAGGTTGTTGCTGATGGTATCCGGCCAACGGATATTGAGTATCTCGGGTAGAAAATTGTTTATAAATACTTATGCCTTGTTGATGATGGTTGTAGTAGCTTCCCAAGTTTCAGCTCCGTACAGTAGAACTGTGTTGACGTCCGTATTGAGGATTCTGAATTTGATGTTGGTTGACAGTTGTTTTGAGTTGCATATGTTGTTCAACTTTAGGAATGCTGCCGTTGTTTTGCCAATCCTTGTTTTTATATCTACATCAGATCCTCCTTGTTTATCGATGATGCTGAACAGGTATGTGAGAGTTTCGACCTCTTCCAGAACATCTCCACCAATTGTGACTGAATTGCTGTGTGTATTGTATTTGAGGATGTCGCTTTTTCCCTTGTGTATGTTGCAGCCTACTACTGTAGTTGTTGCTTCTACACTGGCTTTATTCACCTGCATTTGTTTGTGTGTGTGTTTGATAGAATAGTTGGGTCATCTACGAAGTCCAATTTGTCTAGTTGCATTCAAGCTGTCGATTGTATTCCATGTTTTCCGTGAAATATCGAGGTCTTCATAATGCAATGGACCACCATAAGAAAGAGGGAAGTTGAGAGAGAGAGAGTAAACAAGTTGTCTGACACCGGTCCTAACTTGGAATGTGTTTGTCATCTGTCCTCCACGCACGACTTTGCGGTGTGGTCTGTTTTACGAATAGCCATGATGTTGACGATCTACTCAAACACTGCATAATGTCGAAGAATATCCCTTAAATTTGTTTTTCTACTCTGTCGAATACTTTCTTATGATCATAGTCTATGTACAATGACGAGTTTCGTTCAATTGATTGTTCCATAATGATCCGATGTGTAACGATTCTGTCGGTACGTGATCGATTGTTACGGAATCAAACCTGTTGATTTCGAAGCTGGGCGTCTTATGACTATTTCATTCAGTTAAATAACAGTTGGTAACGTTTCGTGGCATTGACAGTTTTGTGATGCCTATGTAATTCTCACACTCGCTGAGATTTTGTTTTCTATTTTGACGAGATATCCTTCTCTCCAATCTGTTGGCACTCGTTCTTTCTCCCAAATCAAGGAAATATTGTTCACACCTTCATAATAAATTTCTGTATAGGTAATACCAGGTAAATTTATGCTATTCACTTGTTAATAATCAATGATTGGAAAGATGAACTCCCTTCTACTAATATAAAAATTACATTTGGCTCCTATTTTGTCTCTCTGTGACCAAAATAACTTTCAATATGGGGTTGTGAAAATTGTTAAATTTCATCGACATTATTGATGTATCTAAGTTAGATCACCATTGAATACCTTCGATGATGCTTTTATTCTTACTTTTCATTAGTGAAGGTTTGTTAAAATTATTCAATTTAAAGTCAATGGTTTTCATCATGAATTTGTTGTAATTGTAAAGAACTTTTAAAAACCTGCACTGAATATAGAAAAGTTTTAGCTGTCTGTGCGTTCATAAAACTTTGTAAGGAATAAAACTCAGCCACGATCTCCACGTTTCACCAGCAACAAGGAAATATCGAATTCTCTGCCATATTACATATGGCTATAATCTAGTTTCGATAATGGTATCTGTCTTTTTTCTGATATGATTAAAATTCATTGGTCACACCATGCAGAAATGTATTTAATTCAGTCCAATTAAATTAACTTACTCGCCATGTACTTAGGTATAAGCCACACTATATTTTGGGGTCTGACGATACTACTACTACTACGATACTACCAAACCGTAATAGCCGGAACGGGGTTTGAACTTGAGGCTTAGTGGTTAGAAGTTGAACACTACAATCATTAAGCCACCACTCCAAATCTACTTAAGTAATACTCTTATTCAGACTATACTTCATTACATAATCATGTTTCATGTAACGTCGAAATTACTACTATGTCATTTGTTAATAATAAATATAGTTTTTATCATTCATAACATTTAAACATTATACCCTCACTTTCGTTTCTTTTTGTTTTGTTCATTTATACATGCATTTAGATTCTATGACTTGTCTTAATAATATTCGGTCACTAATTGAATTGTTACGTGATCAAGTTTATGCTGGCCTAGAATATTATTGTAACCAAGTTTGGCCAAATGCCCCACATGGACGAATGGGACGTTTATTACTGAAACTATCTAATTTTCAATCAGTTGCTGCACGTATTGAAAAGTTAATATGTTCCAATGAATTAAATCATCTGTTAAATAATTTAGAATCTATATTTTCATATTTATCTAAGAAAAAAGTAGACCCTTCAAATTATATCAGTACAACAACTACTACTACGACGACGGTGTCGTCTACAACTACCAGTACTAGTAATAGTATTCATCTCGAATTTTCATAATATATATATAATTAAATCACTTAAATTTAACTGATAGCCAATCTATCTATTTGCCTATCTACTTTTACAGCTTTTATTCACGAAAAACTTTCTTCCTATAAATTATGTACAAAAGTATAAAAAGTGTGAAAATGACTTAATTAGCCTTGTTTATTAATTCATCATTGTTTTGTTCATTCTAATTTTTGCATATACATAGTTTCAAGTGAATACTTAACTGGTCTTCTTTTTTATTATTATTATTATTATCATTATTTAAAAGAGAGTTTAGTTCCCGTTTGTTATTACCTGTGTTTTGTTTCCTCTTCTCTGTTTTAATTTTTCTCTTCCCTGTTTAAATGCCATCACCTCACTCCCTACCATTTGTGTATGATTATTTCTTAACTTCTCTTACAAAAAGTAAACAAACTTCTAATAAACAAAAATTATTCTATTGTTTTTTTTTTCCTGCATGACACAATTGAAATGAGTGGATGCTGTGTTTTATTTATATATGCCTCTATGTGTATGTGTGTTTATAGAATGATATTCTTCCAATTTTAAATCATCTTTGTATAACTTTATATCTTCAAAAAAAAACAAAAGTTTTTTTTTAGCATTGCAGCAGAAAAAACAAACATCTTTTATGTATTTTGGCTGTGGTTTAACCTGTTTTTCTTTTATATGCGACTTTTACGCTTTTTTCTTAGTTGAGAAGGGAGGGGGCAGCAGCAAATTAGCTTATAATTCATTCGATTATTGTAATGTGCAGATTCAATTTGTTTCCATTAAATATTTCAATGGTTATACATTACTATGACCATTCTCAGGTGATGATAAAACTTTTAATCGGTAAAATTTTTATAAATATTTACAACTATTTTATTTCTTGATTGTTTGAATTTCTTTTTATTAATTCTATTATTTTCTTAGGTATTTAACAATATTTGACGGATTGGGAGGGAGGGGGCTTGGTAGTTGTTTTTCTTATTGTATGTACTGTGTATATGATTTTTCATGCCTTTACTTCGAAGGGCGGGGCATTAATACGCCACCACTTTTTCTTACTTCACACTTTTAACTAATTCATATATATGTAACAGTGTAGTGGTTTCCACTTACTTAAATGCCTACCTCTTATTCTTTACAATATTTATTTTTCTTGCTATCTATATACTAATTATATGACTGAGATGTATGTGTACTAAATAATGTAAAGATTTTAGAACAGGGGGGAGGCGGTATAAAAATACCGGTGGTTTTGACAGTGATTCTTGAGTGAAAAATGTTGTAAATTGTTGCTGCGTTAATGTGTCATTGAATTTTTTGTCCCTATTTTTCTATACTAAATTTCTTAGTTATAAAATATATTATATTCGTTTATATATTAGAGAATTAGTGGTGGATTACCTCACTTTTATATTACGTTATATGTATATTTCTCAGGTATTCGGTTTAGTTGTTTTTAACTTATTCCCTCCTCATCATCTTCTTCGTATTTTATCTATCTTATCATCTAGCTGTCTCAATCCGTTGTATGTATTTTGATAAATACAACCGGTTCGTTTAATATTCTGTTGTTTTGTTTGTTTGTTTTTTTCTGAAAAAAAATAAAAACAATGACGTTTCCCTGTGTCTTTTTCCTAGTTCTATATTGATTATTTAATTATTTACACACATTGTTTTTTAAAGAAAAGGCACATATATATATATATCTCATAGACAGTATTTCATGTCAGGAGTATATATATATGTGTGTATCCGGCATAAACAGTCTCTTTTTTTGCTTATATTTTATGTAAAACAATATATCTTAAAGATTTAGGGTCTCTTTTTTCTTAATCTTTATTTATATATAATAATGTGTTATCCCAGTTTATGAATTCATCTCATCCACCCCCCTTGCTTATTCTGTGTATATTTTACTTTTAAATTTGTTTTTCCCCCTCTTTTTTCTCTCTACCTTTTCATGGTAATTGTGGTGCTAATGTCAATGTTGAATTTTTAGATGTTTTATGAATATGATTAAAAGAAAGAAAAATTCAAACTGTTCATTGATATGAAATGATGAATATACTGTGAAAGGAAAAAGAAGGACGTTTAAATGAGACATTCACAATAATTTTGTTTATTATTTACTAATTATCATTACTACTTAATAACAATGTTATTTCTGAGTTTTTCATTGTTATTGTTGTCTCCTTTTACGGATTAAAAATTTTGAGTGATAATGACAGTTATAATATATAAATATATACATATATTATAGTAATTAATAATAATTATTTGTTTTTGTTTGTTTTTCGATTAATTTGCGATCTATGTTTATCAGTTAATGGGGTTTATTTATTTAAACACATAAATATTGGTACAAGGAGGCACCAGATATACATGCGCCGCACAAATCTCATTCGATTTGTGTGAGGGCTGTGATACTGCCCAGGTGCCCAAACTGAAGTAGGTGGTTTTCTTAGGGGGCTACACCCCGAGCTCTTGACCTTAAGGTTTGATCCACAAGGCAGTGGAGCATCATGAGGAGATGCAGTTCCATGGTAGCCGGTGACCAACAATTGATTCATACGCCATTTGTTCCTTCAGGATACTGAAGCCCATGTGCACCATTAGTTTGAAATCACGGTTTTCTAACTCCCCTAGGTGAACTTACCGTGTCCACCAACCCGGTTAAAGCGCCAGGCATTCGCTTTTCATCCTCTCAATTTCGTAAACAACACCGGTGCCACGAGAAGGCAGTGAGTAGGACTTCCCTGGGGGAGGCTATATGCGCGTGACCATGTGAGAGCATTTGGGGGCAACATTAAAACACAGTGTCAATGTGTTTACTTTAGATTGAATTGATTGGAGTCTTATTTCCTTACTCCTGACGATAAGTTTTGTGAGTACAATCATAAATCTTAAAATAATTATTGATTGGTTTAAATGTTGTCAAAATACATCTTCAATATATCGAGGTGGATACTTTTGTTTCTCCTAAATATTTAAAAACATAACAAGCTCAGAAACAAACTATCTCTGATTGTAATTACGTTCAATAGTTTAAATCTAAACTAGTGATAGCGTGGTTTCTAAAGCTCATTGTTATTTGTGGAGATGGCTCCGGGTGAACTCAAGGAAGCTCTGAAAGAGCCTAAGACATTCCATCCACTCTACGTTTGGAGGGACATTGCAGAATGTTGACATGGAGCTTCCCGGTTGGACACGTGCTAAAAATCACTGCACGCTGATTGGATGGCTGTAATGATGATTTCGTCCTTACTAAAAACTATAAATACCTGAGTGTTTTGTACCATATTTGACACTGATTAAAATAAGGTTTCTTCCTACTCGTCTTTTGTCTTCGAACTTGCGACTTAGAGGGTTCAAGCGTTCAAGTTGTATGCTGTATAGCAAGAATCCAAGTTCTAGATATAATATTGAAAAACTAGTCACTGCAAAAGCTATTAACTTTTATTACCCATCTTAAGGCAACAATCATAACAGAGTATACGATTTCTCTTACTGAGCGGGCGATAGTTTTGAGGATGAGGAAGGTGTGATAGGTCGTTTAATAACACGGGAACGTGTTTGTATAATAAGTGTGGACAAGTTGTTTTAATGCTATTCGATGTGTTTGTTTCACTTTTATTAGAAAGAGTGTATGCTATAGGGGTTTTGCATTACTTGATCATTTCATTGGCTAGTACTGATATAGCCTCTTAAGACAACCTTTTCCCTTTCTCAGTAGTCATTTGTTTAAATCTTGGTGTTAGCATGCACTGCATAAGTTTTTTCTGCGTTTATCCTTTGATTATTTAGTCGTAAACAACGTTGAACCTGGTACATGTATACTGATTCAAGTTGTCACAGCATATCAATATAGCGAGACAAGTCCCAGAGTAATAAAAGTATTAACAGTATCAGCAATAGTAGAAAAGATTAGGTATAGACTATGTGGTTTGAGAAAACAGAATGAATTCGCGGGATTAAAAGTACTAGATAATTTTAAAACTGAAAATGTGAGTTAAGACAAAAACTAAATGCATCTGCGCCATTGTGGCTGAATATTTCACTCCACATCTCTGATCATTGGTTACAATAATCGCTCCGACCCCAGCTACTTAGTAAGCACCTACCAGCATAACTTAGACGGACAATCGGTGACTTCACGAATTGATCATACCTTGATAATAAAATTGGAGAACCATTATTAGTTGCCATGGGAAGCTGAAATATTTTTTGTCTTGGTTAAAATCTCATCAGCACTCAGAAATTCTCTATGCAATGAATTTAAAACCTGAAGGTCTCTTAAAAAGCATAATTTGTTTTAGACCAGTGGTTTACATTTCTGAATTCAGTCAATTTTCAATATCACACCCAGTGTCCATTCACACTGGTGATATGTCTCATTACTGTAATGACTAAATATCACTTATTGTTTTTTTTTCATTCGAAACCTTTTATGTAGGAAGGAAAAGAATCTATGCACGATCGGTGTATACAAAAGTGAACTAAAATCCGCTCTATCAAAGTATTGTATTGATTAAACGAAAGCTAAAAATACCATTTATTACATTTAATTTTGATGCTATTTAATTAACTTAATATGACAGCTTGATTTCCATTTCAGTCATTAAATGTCTCGTTTGTGTAATTGTTTGACAGAATGTTGATTGATTTGAAATCTAGTTGAATTATACTTGTTGTCAAGGTATCCTGATGAAGCATACAAACAACCAAATTGTTTAGTATAATTAATTAAAACGTCGAATGGTTTAATATGATACTGATAGTTTCATCACAAGAAAAAAATATCAATGTAGTGAATGATTTTTTACGGCTGTTACTCCCAATGGAGCATAGGCCGCCGACCAGCTTTCTCCAACTCACTCTGTCCTGGGCCTTCTTTTCTAGTTCTATCCATTTTTTGTTCATTCTTCTTATGTTTGTCTCTATTTCTCGGTGTAATGTGGTAGTGAATAAGCAGAAAAACAAAAACAGCATCAAACGATACAACTCATAAGAACATGAATAAGATATATTTAATTGAATTAAGAGGTACATTCTACTCATACAATTTAGAATAGATAAACATAACAAGATCGCTATTGACTTTTATTCTGATTTATGTTTAATAACATCTCTAGCCGATAAATTGCACTAACTTTAAGGAGTTTATCCAGAGTTATGACGATGAAATCGATGGTAATCTGATTCAGTTATCACTGATTATGAGGCAATATGTTGTGAACTAACCACTTTTCTACTTTTTTTCAGTTCCAGAATCGACAAATAAAGGTTCCGGGATGATAGGCGTAAATGTAATGAAGTCACTGTATCCACTATTTATAAAGGATAATACTTATTGGATCATCATCTCCACCATCACTTTGCTAGATGTCGAAATTTTTTGGTCCCTGTTATCACCAAATGTGAGAGTTTATCATAACTGATCAGAGAAATTCTCTGAACTTCCATATACTTTGGAAATGCAAGGTTATAAAAGTATAACAGGGTAGAACTGCTCGATGATTAGATTAATCTGACAGCATTAAAATTTTCTCAGATTTACTCTATAGATATTATCCTACTTAGGTTGAATTCATTTGGTACGTCTATACAAGAAGAGATTCACAAATTTTCCTACTCTATTCAATAGTTTAATATCCCGATCGTTGCTGCTACCTTGACGTGGTGGTCGGGCTTGCCTATCGTGATGAAGCGATCGAGCTATGCTGGCTGGAACAATCGTTCCTCAAGGTCCTACCATGCCAGACAGGTCGTTTGAAGAGCGGTGAGATTAAAAGCAGCAAACCCAAGGTCCGAAGGCGAAGTCGTACTGCTGACTGTACAGAGGTGTGACAGCAGTAAGGTGTTTCCTTCAGACAACCAGCATGACAGCGATGCTGCCTTCCCACAAGGAGGGGTGGGGTTAGAAAAGGTCTACCCTAAAAATGCACACCTCGCCTTATCCCACGGATATCCGTCTCCGGTGGTAAAGTTTTTTTGAAGAACGGAGCTAACACAAAAACTACCCACAAAAAGGTCGTGTGTGACCGACCTCAAGCAGTTGTCCCTTGGGCACTGCGGTCACGCTCTCAGGTCATTAAGACCACTTCTAACCCAATTTCCTTTTCAGGTACCTCTAGAAGAATCCTTCCACGGTGTGGGCAACCGGGAAGTGATAACTGCTCTCATACCTCTAACAACACTCAAAACCACTGTATTCATAATCAATCTCCATCTTCAATTCCTACTATTCCTTCTACCTTGACTTTCAACACTAAACTTCCTCTCTCGGTTTCCTCCTCAAGTGTCACCATGGCCAACGATTCTAGTGCGCGAAACGCTGTCCCAGGTCTACTAAAACCTCGCTCCAAACTACACATTGGAGCCTTCAACGTACGTACTTTAAGTCAAATCGGTCAACAGGCCTCCTTAGCTAAAACTCTAGAATCTCGTACCGTTGATGTATGCTGTGTCTCCGAAACACGCATACAGGATCCCAGTGTGGTCATTCACTTGACCTCACCTCGCCAAAATGGACAGCCGACGAAATACACCCTCCGTGTATCTGGCGACCCGTTGGCTAGTTCTCGTGGACTTGCAGGTGTAGGCATAGCACTAAGTACAAGGGCAGAACAGGCACTACTAGAATGGATCCCCGTTAACAATCGCCTGTGTGCTGTCCGGCTAAATGGCTCCATAAGAACTCGGAAGGATAGGGACACACGTCGTTGCCTTTTCGTCGTTTCTGCCTACGCTCCCACTGACTGCAGCCATGATGAAGTAAAAGATGACTTTTACAGAAAACTCTCTGAGCTTCTTCAGAAAGCTAAGCGCTCAGACATAGTAGTCGTAGCGGGTGACTTTAATGCCCAGGTAGGCAACTTAAATCAAACAGAAAGACATTTAGGTGGGTGTTTTAGTATTCCGGCTCAACAAACCGATAATGGTGATCGTCTGTTGCAACTATGCTCAGACAATCGTTTATTTTTAGCAAGCACTAGTTTTAAACATAAGGAGAGACATCGTCTAACATGACGACCACCTGCACCAAACCAACGATGGACTCAAATAGACCATATTGCCATCAGTCATCGTTGGAGAGGCTCAATAGAAGATTGTCGCTCGTATTGGAATACTTGTTTAGACTCTGATCACGCTTTAATACGAACACGCATTTGTCTGCGCCTCAATGGACGCAGGAAAACTACACTAAGAAGACTCATTAGGATTGAACCAGAGGGCAAGAAAGCCAAATGCAAATTCCAGGAACAACTGAGTTCACACCTAGGCAGTTCTGTAAACGAGACTGACCCAGATGTTGCTTGGACACCTATACGAACAGCTGTGGAAACAGCAGTAACA